CCTAATAATAATTAGCCAAAATAGTAAGTATAATAATATGTGGTCATATTGGTATAGCTACCGTTTTTTAAGTAGTATAAGCTCGTAAAAAAATAAAAAAAATAATAACATCTATGAATAAAAATTCACAAGTATGTCGGTGCGGTGTTTCCGAATTGCGGACAAAGTGACAAAAACCATGTGAGTTGCGGACGAAATCTAAAAAGGTAACATACGAATTGCGGACACAAATATAAGATACGAATTGCGGACAAATGTCCAATTTTTATTTTTGATATTAACGATTGTGGACGTTGGGAAATTACTGTTCCGTCGTAGTGTCGTCTTTCTGTTCGTTTATTTCCAATTTTTCTGTATAAAAATGTATAGTGAAAAACTTAAAGAGTTACGTGTGGTTGACGGTTTTAAGTTCCGTTTTCATCGCATAATGAAAAATGAAATTCAACGGTGAGCGTGTACAAATAAAAGGTGTAATGCATTTTTAAAATTTGATACACATGGTGTTGAAATAGACAATAATCTTGAACATAATAATCACGCGGGCACGCGGCCGATGAGAAACGATCACTTGTGCGCAGGGATGGGCAAGATACTCAAAAATCAGTATCGAGATAGTAGATACTAGATACCTGGATTTGGAGAATCGAGATACTAGATACTCGATACTTGGCTCTAGAGTATCGCGATACTAGATACTCGATACTTGGCTTTGGACTATCGCGATACAAGATACTCGATACTCGATACTCAATACATTTTAATAAAATTAGTCACTGGATTTTTAAAAATTATGTTTATTATTGTGGGTATGGCCACTTCATTAAGTAATTAGAATGAAAAATAAAATAAAAAACATTGACACTTTCAGTAATAATAATACATTAGTAATAAAGCAAAATAAAATAAATCAATTACGACATTACGTAATCTTGTTATCGTCTACGATTCTACCAAAAATAACCACAATACGATTACATAACAATTAAATAATAATAATTCTACATTAAAAATTATATTTACTTGGTATTGTCGTATTGAATTATATAAATAATAAAACTAATTTTAGTATAATAAAAATTTAATTTCAATAGTAATAGTAACATAACATCATTCATTTATATAGTTAATTTATCTTTGTTTCCTTTTAAAAATACAAGTTTTTCAAAGGTTATATAGGATAATTTATTTCTGGTAGGATTATTAATAAATCCTGCCATGGAAAACAATCGTTCTACGGGTGCTGGGGAGCATAAGCTGGTATTAAATCTAATAAAAAGTTTTTTTATAATTGGATAATTGTTTAGAATATTTAACGATTTAGCCTTATCATTAAAAAAAGTAACTACTTCCAGTAAAGTAACTACTATTACATAGTAGAAAAATAAGGTACAGTCTTACAGACGTAGAGTCCAATTCAAAGTACGTGTGTAACATAATATTACCTATATTTTATATACAACCATTACACCACTAACTTTTCAAAAGTGGTTTCTGACGAGTAAAAATAATCGTAAACAATTAATTTTTCAAAGTATCGCATTAATGTATCGAGTATCTTTCGATTAAATTAATTCATGAAATACTCGATACATTGACTAAAAATGTATCGCGATACAAGATACTCGATACTTAACATAATTGTATCGAGATACAAGATACAAGATACAAATGTATCTAAGATACGTATCTTAGATACTTGTATCGAAGATACTGCCCAACCCTGCTTGTGCGGCAGAAATTAAGTAACAGTGTCAAACGTAAAGCGGTAGAGCAGCGGTAGAGCAGCTATGTGAACGTCCCAGCAAAATTATACATTCTGAGATTACACCAGATGATTTAAATATATTAGACTCAAAGGATATAAATTTAATCCGAAAAAATATTCACACTGCTCGTATGAGTACAGAGTAAGTATCCAATATTACCTAAAACACTTTTGGAATTTTATGCGATGGTTCCCGACGTAGTAGATAAATTACACACCAATGGAAGTGAAAAATGGATTATTGACATTGACACTAATAAAGGTATTGTGTACTTGTGTAGTTGTGTGCTTCTCTCCAATTAAAAATTTAAATTTTTTTAAAAAGTGTGATGCTGTTTTGATGGATGGTACTTTTTCAAGCTGTCCATCTCTGTTTAATCAATTGTTCGTGGTTCATGGCGTAAAAAATAATATTTACGTACCATTATTTTTTTGTTTATTGATGGGAAAATCAGTTACTGATTATTGTACAGCACTCGAGTTTTTGAAACAGCGTTCACCACTACTACCAACCACTTTTCATATTGATTTTGAACAATCTATCCACTCAGCTGTTCGTCTAGTATGGCCAATGAGCAAAATAAAAGGGTGTCGGTTCCATCTCGGACAAGCTTGGTACCGAAAAATACAGTCATTATGTCTAGCTAAAGTATATAGTACTGAAGATGAAAAGGGGAACTTTTTAAAAACATTTTTTAGTCTACCGTTTTTGTCACCAAACGAAGTGGATGACTGCTTTACAGATGACTTAATGTCTACGATGCCGGCTGACTGCCCTGCTAAACGATTTTGTAGATTATGTTTTTTTGAACTATATAAATACTGATTCTGCAATGTTTCCTCCAGAAATATGGGCAGAATTTTCTTCTTCTATTTCACGAACCACAAACGCATGTGAAAGTTTTCATGCTAAACTATCGTAGTCACCCTAATATATACCAATTGATCGAGGCCTTAAATGAAGTACAGACTAGTAGTTATACTAAAATGAATTGTACTGCTGTACGAAATTTAAAACGAGCAAAACAAACTGTAGACAAGGAGGAATTTATTAGCAAGAAAATGTTACAATATTCAAGTGGTGAAATAAATAGAATAGCATTTATACAGGATGTATCAAAAAAATTTTTGCCACAAAATTTAAAACTTTAAATAATAATATAATATAATATAATATAGTAACTTTAAATAATTTTAAAAATAACGATTGCACTTTTGCAAGACACACATATTTTTAACCCCACCTACCAATTTTTTGGTAGCTTGTCCTAGTTGAGTCAAAAATACTAATACATCAAATATATACTTATTGACTATAGTAATATCATAGGTTGTAAACACTCCCATTATTTACCTATTTTTTGAAAATTTGCTGATTTACAACTAGGTATAGGGAGTACAATACTACGTAATAATAATTAATTTAAAAATAGATTTCAACCAATTTCATTTTTATGTTCAAGTAAAATAATAAAAATACCACTCCCCTCCACAAAAAAAGTGGAAAGTTCATTGCTACCCTTCTGATTCATGTGGAAATCAAGTATTCTGCAGATGCAGCAGAAACAGACGCACTGCAGTTACCAGGTTTTTGTTACTGTATATATTTACAGGAATGATATCGGACATTTACTACAATTTGTTGCCAGATTATGCAGGATAAGTAATAACATAAAACACACCACACCGTTAATATATCATTGCAAGATTTATTTTTTAATGTCCATATTTACAAAAGTTTAACATCAATTTTTTTTTTGTACAAAAACATGGTAAACAAATTACAAAAAACTATACCTAACTTTGAAATATTAGCTATTTTTTTTTATTATTATTATATTTAACTGCATAATATACCTATCCATTCGTAAAAGTAAAGTAAAAAAAAAAATTATACAATAAATTCATATCGGAAAACGATAAAAAAAAAAAAGTTATATAAAAATAAGAAAAGTTATTGAAAACAGTCTTTGCATTTAAGTAAAATGGCAGGAATAAATATTTTTTATTTATTAATGATAACACGAAATTACATCATAATTATAATAAAATATATACAGTACAAAATACACATCGTTCTATAGCTGAAAACCGTCGACACCGATCGGACCCCGTGAGGTACATAGGAAAGGTTGTGTACCTACTTGTGGTTTTCGAAAGTCCAACGGTTTCAGTAAATATACTATACAGTCGTTCTGATATTTTTTTACACGATTTTTATAAAATTATTTACAGAAATATATATATGTATATATACGTTTAGGTAGTATAGTTATATAATATGATTCGTCACAATACACAAATAGTTAGTATATAATATTATGATGTTTGCTTATAAAAATAATAATTTATACACAATACATGTCCATAATATGGTTATAGGTATACAATAATAATAATGATACAATAATAATATGAGACGTGTATAGAAAAAAAGTGAGCAAACTATATTATATATATTTATGATTGACGATTGCACGGTTATTACAATTTGATTTTTGTTTTTAAGTATGGCAACGCTCTTCGTCCGACTTCCTATATATTATAATATACTATTGTATATCCTTGAATCGGCTCGAATTAGGGATAATATTGTTAACTAAATATTATAAGCTTTTAATACCATCATCTCATCCGGCATATATATATATATATATATATATTATGTACAAGGCGTGTATAACGTTATACACGTCATTATAATATATCGGCATATTATATATTATATAAAAAATTCATAATTATCACAATTTCGTTATAAAAAAAAAAAAGTTACCTTTGATTATATCGCCGTTTCGAGAATATAATATAATATATTAATATATATATATATATTTATATACACGTAAATTATAATATTATCCTAATAACTATTTATAAATTAATCTATTTTATTACATGGTAAATCGAGGCGCAAAACGCAACGGCCGCCGAAAGGGTGCATATACTACGACGACCACGACGCGATTTCGACGACTATAATAATACATTAATACTTATTATAGGTAATTGTATTAATATATTATGTAGTATTATAAAACGTCGCGAGTAAATAGGTATAATTGGACTATTATAGTATTATATAATTATTGTATAATATTAATTATTGTGTTTGTATTTCACTCGTCGTGTCGTGAAAGCGCACAAACCCACACCCTTTGGACGGCCGTGGCCGTTTGGACGGTGAATGTCACTCACTCGGCCACCACCGCCATACGTCATCGTTATATCATTATCACAGCCTGAGTTCGGCCTCCGCCGACGCCTGATGATGCCTCTGCCGGGCCGATGTGGAGGCGGCCGAGTGGAGAGGCGATATGGAGGGCGACCGGTTGGCCAATGGCGACAGGGACGGCGAGAAGGACGGCGACATGGCCACTGATTGGCTGAAGCCCGGGTTGGTCTCGTGACTGATCGGCGACCGGGGCACGAGCAGCATAGGCGGTGGTACAGCCTGGTGGTGATGGTTGTGGTGGTGGTGGTGGTGATGCTGTTGCGAGGCGCCCGACTGTCGCGACGAGGACAGTGCTCTGGGCGCCATGTTGGTCAACAGTGGCGGGGGCGGGGGCGGCGCGCTCTTTTGCTGCATGTGCTGCTGCTGTTGGTTAGGAACGTTGGATTTCTTGCTGCCGGAAGGGTTTTTGACGCCACCACCGACGCCGCCACCGCTACCTCCGCTCGTGGACGCAGCGCCGCTGTTGGAGCTCTTTACCGAGTTGGCGTCGTCCTTGAGCCTGGCGATTTCGTTGAACACGTGCGCCAGCGGCTGGTACTGAGGGCCCCAGTCCAACAGGTAGTCCCAGTTGTAGCTGCCGGTCAACTCCTCTTCGCTGTGCACTATCGAACTGAGCGACCCGACCATGGACGGCTGTGGGGGCGGGACTTTCGAGCCCGAGTAGACGGTGCCGTTTGACGACTTGCCGCCACCACCATTGCCTCCGCCACCACCTCCACCGCCACCGCCACCATCATCTTCGCCTACCACGCCAGTGCCAGGGCCACCGCCACCGCGTTCGCTGCCCACGTCGCTGAGTTTGGCGTAAATCATGTTGGTTATGTCGCCGTCGGTGGCCTCGTCCTCGTCGTACATGTCGATGTTCTCCATCGGCCTGCGGTGGCGCCTGGACGACGATAGTCGTCGGTTTTCCTCAGGTAGGTGAGGTGGTACCTGTTGCACAACAGTCTGAGTGTCCACGATGCCCAGGCGGGCCAGGTACTCTTGTGTGTTGCGCGCGGCCGTCACCTCGGATAGTTCATCCGCGTTTTGCCGCTCGTTGATCATCCGAATCTCTTCGTCCTCCACGTCGTCCTCGGCCGACCCCCGGCCGCTGGAACCGGACTTCTCTGATCCCGACAGGTCCGACGTGGTGGCCGCCCCGGAATTGGTGGTGCTGCTGTTATTCCGGTACGTTGGTATCTCGTCGTACTTGGGTGGCGCGAACTGGCCGACCACTTGCTGGCCACCCACGCCACGTATGGGTATCGTGTCGAACGCGCCGGGGTCCACGTAAGTGTTGTCGGTCCTCTGGTGTCCGCTTAGTTCAGGTTTGTTGATGTTTCGGTGTTGCTTGTTCTTAAGGTGAAAGTAGAACATGATGCCACCGAGAAGCAGGACAATCAGCAATACCACCGACAGGATGCCGATAATCCAATCTACTGGGCTTCCACCTGAAGAGCCTCCTGCGTTTTGACCATTGCCGCCGCTAACGACACCGCTACCGGACGAACTACTGCTGGCCAGGTTCAAGCCGGGCTGGGAGAGCGGGTCGAACGATATCTCGACCACGCTCACGTTGGTCAGTGACCCTTGTTTGCCCGAGCTGGCCGTCACCACGAGGCTTATATCCTGCGCTGCGTCAAAGTTGCCGTCGATCTTCTTCTTCACGATTATCGCCCCCGTCGTCCGGTTCACCTTGAAGTATGCGTTCTGCGTGGTTAGGTGGTACACGACCCGTCCTTCAGGTCCTTTGTCCCGGTCGGTGGCCGATACGTGTCCGATAACGTAGCCCACTGGCAAGTCGACAGTGTTCACCATAAACTTGAAAGTCCGCTCGATGAACTGCGGCGCAAACTCGTCCTTGCCCTCGATTTCGATTTTCACTCTGACCTTTGTGTTCTTGTCTCCAGCGTCACTAGCGATTATCGTAAACGTGTACTTGCTCCTCGCCTCGTAGTCGAACACAGTGTTGGTGGTCACCAGGCCCGACAACGCGTCGATTTTGAACATTTTCCACGAATCGTCCGCGCCCGAATAGCTGGCCGACGACGCGATTGAATAGTTGAGTTGTCCGTAAGGGCCGCGATCTGCGTCCGTCGCCTTTGCTGTGAATACCAGTGCACCGACCGGCTCGTTTTCACCCACAAACTCCAAGTACTCCGAGACGGGGAATCTCGGAGTGTTGTCGTTGACGTCTTCCAGCCGTATCTTGAGCAACTTAACCGTGGCCAGCTGCCGGTCCGGCGATTTCGCACCGTCCTGGGCTTTAACCACTAGATTGTGTTCGGACACGTCCAAGTCGCAATCCAACACGGACTTTACGAAAACGTCACCGGTGTTCCGGTCGATGTCAAAGTAATTCTTGCTGTTGCCCGAAGTTATCTCATAGGAAACGTCTGAGTTTGGCGGAGTGTCTGAATCACTGGCGACCATCCGGACGATTGAGTGTCCGACGGGCGTGTTCTCCGGCAAAGACAGCAAACTTTGTTGTTCATTCGCCGTGAACTGAGGAGCGTTGTCGTTGGCGTCGTCGACAATCACGTGGACAAACACGTAAGAACTGTTGACACTGTCTGTGATCTTGAGCGAGTATATATCGCGTGTTTCCCGGTCCAAGTGTTTTTTTACGAAAAGCTCACCGGTCGGACTTACAAGGTCGAAATTCTTCTCGTCGTCGCCTTCGATGATTTTGAACTGTGCCGAACTGTCCGCTGAGTAGCTAGGCAACAATTTTAAAAATGATTCGCCCAAAACAATGTCCTCTCGAACCGATATTCTACAAGGGTAAAAAAAAAAAAATACAAAAAATTAGTAAAATCCTCTGATAGTATTTACATCACAACGGGGACCTTGTGCTTTTGCTGATATATTACCTGAATTCGCTTTGTGCAAATTTCACCGTGTTCGAATGCACCGTATTTTGTATGATGGAGCGAACCGCAATAACAGTGGAAAGAGGAGGAGTTCCTAAGTCAGTGGCTGATACTAACAAATCGACAAAGCCCTATAACAGAAATCACAATTAACACATATTTTAATATCAATACAATTAATATAATAAATCGGTTATATTCATTTATATTCGGAAAACGCTATTGTTTTATTTCTCAATCATTACCTTTTGCAGAAACTTTTGATCGAACTTCAATCGGTTCGCAGTGATGACGCCGGTTTGCTGGTCGATCCTGAATCCGTTCAAATCGTTCACCAAACCATATTTGATCTGTCCGTTCAGCCCAGAATCCAAATCCTTCGCGAGCACTTGCATTGACGATTCGCCGTAAACGTTTTCTGTACACGCCAACAATACACAATGCGTTTAGATATTATTTCGTTATTATATTTGAGGGCGAAAACCCTATTCATGGGATATTTTTACAAAACAAACCTGTCATCGTGAACGTGTAGTAAGGACGGTCGAATACTGGAGAGTTGTCGTTGTCGTCAGTTACCACGACGGTCAGTTCTGTGGACGCCGTGTGTTCCGAGTCAGACACGACTACTCCCAAGCGATACGTCCGTGTCTGTTCGTAGTCCAGACTTCCGATTAACGACACACGGCCACTGTACCTGTCCAATGCGAAAAGCTTCCGATCCACCAGTCCCACAGAGGGCGCCCAAGAATAGGTCAGTGTGGGGTAAGTGTCCACGTCGTTAGCGACCACCGTAGTTATCATGCTTCCTACTTCCAGACCTTGAATACATATGAAGAAAATACATGTTAAAATTATTTAAAAAAAAAATATGATCGATGAATATAGTGACCCAAATGAAAATAAAAAAATCCAATAAATAATATTTTAGTATATAGGAGCTAGGTACCTATAATATATCCTACTAAATATACTAGATATAATATTATATATTATGTAATTTGTTGTTGTTCTACATAATACAATGTTTTAGTTTTACTGTAGTATTGATAATATATTAATATACTCTGCACGTACCTTCTTTGACGTTAATGGCGGCTCGTGGTGGGAATGACGGCCGGTTATCGTTGATGTCGATAACTATCACCCGGATGGTGGCCATGCCGGTCATCTGAGGCGTGCCCTCGTCTGTCGCGATGACGGTCAGCTTGTAGGTATCTCTGATCTCACTGTCCAATACGATGTTGGTCTTGACTATGCCGGAGTCGGTCGGGTCAATGACGAAAGCGTTGTCGTGGTTGCCGTCCACCAGGTGATACGATAGCCTCGAGTTCTCGTTGTCGTCCAGATCGACAGCCGCCACCCTCACGACGAACAAGCCCTTGGAGTTGCCCTCGGTCACTGTAGCCGTGTACTCCTTTTGAGCGAACACCGGGCTGTTGTCATTTTGATCGGACAGGTGTATCCAGACGTCGGCGTATCCCCACATGAACACCGACGCAGGGGCGTCGGTCTGCGCGATGGCCACTAAGTGTACACCAGCCTTGTACGTTTCGTAATCCAGACCCTCCGATTGGCCGACGCGTATTACACCCGTTTTTTCGTCAATGTAGAACAGCCCGTTCTCATTGTTGACCGGGGCCAACTTGTAGAACACTTTTTGTTTCCGACCGTCGCTACGATAAGCCGAAATCTAAAAGCACACGAGGGAAACATAAATATTATTTTCAAGGTTTTTCACCGCATGAACCTATAGATATTATATTTTATACGCGTACCTAATAACACCCAAAATAAATTATATATTTACCTCGAGCACTTCTTTGTGTTGTTCCAAATTTTCAGGTATTGTTACGTGATAGGTGGAGTTCTTGAACCGCATGACGGGGATCCGATCAAAGTTATCACCAATCTTTATCTCCAATAGGCCCGACGAGCTTTGCGGTGGGTTTCCCTTGTCGGTGGCCGTCACTTCCAAATGGAACACTTGACCATTATCCGAGGCCAGACTCGATGACGCTGTCACCACACCCGTGTTGGGGTTGATCCGGAACCGGTTGGCGGCCTCTTGGTTTTCCTTGAATGAATACAAGACATCGGCATTGGAACCTTCATCCTTGTCGAAGGTCGACACCCGGACAATGTCCATTCCGGGCTGTACGTGTGACGGTATTTCCGCGGTGAACGGATATTTCGTGAACACCGGCACGTTGTCGTTGACATCCAGCACTTTGATGTACACGAGCGTAGTAGATGACCGAGGATTGTACTTGCCACCGTCCCTGGCTACAACTTGCAGCCAATAGTTGGGTTGCCGTTCTCGGTCGAGATTTCTAAAAATAAAATTGAAAAAACAAATTAGAAAAAAGATCCTATTATATTATCAACGCTTAAATTAATTTATAGTACTGCCGAAACTCACTCCACGGTGGTGATGATTCCGGTCTTGTTGTCGATCTGGAAAACGTTTTCCGTCTGATTTGACAACGAATACGTTATCTTCGCGTTCACGCCCACGTCCGCGTCGTGCGCCTTGGCCGTCAGCACCTTGGTGCCGGGTGGCACGTCTTCCAACAGGACCGCTTCGTACTTGCTCTGTTCAAAGTTCGGGTCGTTGTCGTTCTCGTCGTCGACGATCACCGTCAGATTGCAATGGCCGGCCGTTGTGCTGCCGCGGTTCTGGGCTGCTATCTGCAGCTGGTATTTGGCCTGCACCTCCCGGTCCAGCGTCTTGGCTGTCAGCTCGCCCGTCTTCGGGTCTAGGTGGAACTTATTGCCACCATTGCCGCCGACGATACTATACACCACCTGTCCGTTGGATCCCCAGTCAGGATCTATGGCAGCCACTGTGCGGATCACCGACGGTTCTTGGTTTTCGGGCACCATCAGCGTGTGACATGAGTCGTGCTTGAACCTGGGACTGTGGTCGTTCACGTCCAGTACGTTCACTTCGAGCGACACCACGTCCGTGCTGAATTTCACCTCGTCCGTTGCGTACACGGGCAATATGTACCGAGACGTCCGCTCTCGGTCGATTCGGTTTTGCAATGTCACTAATCCCCCGTCTTTGTCCACGCGAAAACAGTTGTCGGCCACACCTTCCGGTATGCTATACGATATCCCTGAAACAGAGAGAACCAATACGGTTGTAATACGATTTTCACGGGTATATGGCTGTATAAAGTTTTCGAGAACACGTCATTATGGCTGCCGTATATGTGCGACCAATGACTAACTATATATTATTATAATTTAGGTACGAGTGTATAACGACCTTTGCGTCGCGTTTATCGCTATTAATGTTAAATCGTTTTCATTTAGAACGACTATAATAATACCTACCTACTACTGACGTACCTATATAGGTATATAATAAACAGTTGGTACGTGAGGAGACATGATTGTGATGTGGTTTCGTCGACGACGTGATTTAAATAATATAATATAGCAACTTATAATAATTACTGGTTTGGTTTGGTTATTTTTTTTTTTTATAATAACGCCAACCTTGTAATAAGATTTCGAATATTACTTGAGCGCAGATAACTGTAGGTTATAATAACGTTATAGCAATCAACGTTTCGATTTTCAATCGATAGGTTACTATAATTATACTCTTTATTCATTATTGCAAATTTAACGACTTTTAATATCGAGTCGCGCGCTCAAGATACGAAATCCAATCATCTCGCTCTTCACGTCCGTCCTATATATGCTAAACAGTTTCAACGAACATTATAAAGCAGTGCGACCATTAGATTCCGATCGTATAAAAGTTTTTTTATACGTAACTCTTTTATGTATACGTTAAACCTAAATAAAATGTTATATATTATGCTCGTCAAATATTAGTGAAACAATAGTAATGGATGATCCGTTTTAGTAGGCTCGAAGGGAGTAATTCCGTCACACACACATTTTAAGATTGTTTAAGTTTTTGCTTTTGAAAGGAATATCACTGTAAGTACGTTCGTACCCAGTGATGAAACGATGTGATTTTAATTTACGGTTTGCTTATTTCTGGTGTGATATCGTCTAAATATTATAAATATCAATATTATTATTTTTATTTTGACCCGCCCCCCCCCTCCCCAGACCGAAAGTCTCGCTCGTCGTCACTGTTAAATCGTACCCATCTAAAATCGTGAAAAACTGAACAAATAATAATTATTGTTATACTATGACTTACGGTTGGAGTTGGAGTTGGCCGTGACTTGGGCAACGAATCTGCCGACTGGCGCGTCCTCGGAGACGTTGGCGGAGTACAGCTTCTGGGCGAATTGCACTGATTGTTCGGCGCTCGTGGTAAACGCCACTTCGAGCGTGGTGTACGCGTACCTGGCTGGCGTGCCCCTGTCCGCGACCGTTACGTTAAGCGAGTGCTTCCTGCTGGTATCCGGTACTCGGGCCAAAATTAGTGCACCAGTGTCGTATCCGATGCCAAACGTCCCCTGTTCATTGCCGCCGGTGATCGTGTACACTGTGCGGCCGTTGTCGCCGGCGTCCAAGTCGACAGCCACCACGTCACACAGCCAATCACCCGGCCGGGCTGACCCATCGGCATACATCCGCCGGAATGTCGGCGACACGATCCTCGGCCCGTTGTCATTGGCATCCTGCACCACTACTCTGGCAGTCACGTCCGCGTATAGCCGCTCGGTGACGTTAACCGCCTGGTCAGTGGCTCGGACTATTATCACGTACTCGCGAGTCGTCTCGTAGTCGAGCGGTTCGACCAGCGTCAACATGCCGGTCAGCGAGTCAAGCGAGAACGCTGCCTCGTGCCCGCGATTCTGCCTAGGATGGCGCTGCACGACCGTGTACCGCAACTCGGCGTTGGCGTCCGCGTCTGCGTCCGAGGCTGTGAAGTTGTATATCACTGAGCCGACGGCCGCGTCCTCAGCCACCGTTACCACGACTGGGTCGTCCGGCCATCGCGGCGCGTTGTCGTTCACGTCCAATACCTCCACTCGCACCGACACCGAGCTGCTCTGTGGGTTAGTGCTAGCGCCAGTGTCCAGCGCATGCACTTCCATCTCGTACGCCGCCTTCGTCTCCCGGTCCACTCGGCCGGCCACGATCAGCGCTCCTGTGCTCCGGTCTAGGTCGAACACTTGCTGGCTGACGTCCGAGTGCCGGAGCGTGTACTTCACCTGGCCCCGGCCCGCAGACGCAGCACCCGCACCCTCCGAACACGCTATGCGGCCCGCTATGCTGCCAACCACCGCGTCTTCCTTCACCTGTGACGAAAAAAAAACGAGCAATTTGTTAATTTGGTAAAATAATATAAGTATTAAATGGCTGGGAATTGGGATTTAATATCACATGCGCTGCAGTGGCGCCGATGTCTATATTATAGTTTCAAATGGCATTGCATTGAAATGAAACCTGAGATACCTATAGGTACAATCACTGTCTTCTTTTGTCAAATAGAACCGTGCGAGGTCCTGGCCCGTACACCCCTATTATTATCTTCAATAATGATTTGCCAAGTGGGTACTGCAGAAACTTGATATTTTGTTTTCTAACTTTTATACCCTCACTATACTTTTCTTTTTTTTTCATTGACTAACCCACGGTAACTTAGGCCATCGGGTGAACTATACTTTTGAAATCATTCAAAAAAGGCATGTTTCATAGTTGAAAATTTAGAAAAAAACATCAATATTGACTATGGATATTTAACTTATATTAGATAGATATAAGATATTTAACTTGGGGCGTATTGATATTGTTTTATTGACTAGGACGAGTAAATAATTCCACAGGCAATGTATTTCATAACGAGTACCTATATTATACGTCCACTGAAAGAGTCAGACATATCAGACTCGTCCGTTATTTGATAAATAATAATTATTATCATAGGTGTATTATATATAGTATATACGCATAGTTGAGTTTGTCAATATCGTCATGTCGTCGGGTCATGCTCATTATAAAACTCGATTTAAAACATTTCACTGCACCACTATATGCTGTCATCTGCAGTCAAAATTGGAAGCGCTACCTTCAACGATGTGGTCGGCAGTCCTTCGCACGACAAATTTTTATTATTTGCCTACTCACGAGAGTCAGCGTATATGGAATCGCCATCAGCAAATTGTGAGTATTTACTGTTGAATAATATTGATTACTTTCGTTCTAATAAATGTCGAACGTTATTTACGAGAAATAGACTGCACGCGTGTGGCTGAAGCTAGACGGTTTTTACGGAAATTCGACCTTATACATATTATGGGTTGTTTTCGACGTTTACCGTTGTAATAACTGCGTGGCGTATATACGAAAAAGGTGAGTTTCGGTCGAGGAATTCCATATTAGTATTCGTGTCGGTCTGGAGTAAATTTTGTTTGGGAACAATCACCGGACGGATCAGCTCCGGCCGGTTATCGAGTGGTCTTGCAGCGGCGTGCGCGAGAGAAAATCGGCTGTCCGTTTTTATTCTTTTCCCCTCCCCGCGTCCACATAGAATCTCATTTCGTAAAACTCGACCAACGCGCGCCTCTTAATTAAACCGATCCAAATCGAAAACGTATAAATCTTCACGGTCCGCGTATGGTATTTAAAACTATAAATGCAAATCTTGTTAGTTCGTGACTAATTCAGTATCTGATTCGGATCGTCGGAAAGGTAAGGAGAGGAAGAAAAAAAAAGTTGTTCACGAAAAGTACACGTCGTCGGGCGAAGCGCGTTCAGGAAATCGCCGGAACACACAAAGAGACGTTCATTAGGGCCGAAAAGACAGACCACGACGACAACGACGACGACAACGACAGGAATCGGTCGGTCGGTCGGTCGGCGCAATAATAATAATAATAATAATAATATGTAAAACACAAGAAGTTCGATTTCGTTATTGTTTTGTTTTGTTTTTTATGCAAGTGATTTTTTTTTCGCTCGCATAACAATACCTTATCGTGAGCACTGGATCTCGTCATTTGTGTATGTGTGTATGCGTACGGAGAGATAGAATGGAATAAATAAATGAAAAAAAAAGGAAAAGAAAAAAAGTCGAACAATAAATATAAGCAAAGAGAAGTCACAGTGAACAAACGCGGCGCAAAAAGTATACATACATACACACCGTCGTCGTTGTCGTAGTCGTCTGAAACCCGGTTTCAATTGAATATAGGCGAATTGTTTTTATCTCGTATATTTTATTTATATTCTTTATTTCGGTCGCAATCGTATTCCTCGGCTGCTGGTGCACCACACACACACACATACATAAATGCACACACACGATGACAACACTGAAAACCAGTTTCGATTTTTCAAGCGCATTGCAACAACGCGGCGGCGGCGAATGCGAGTTTTATTATTTATTTATTTTTTCTCATTTGATTTGTTTATTCATTATTATTATTTTTTTGTCATTATAAACAATAACCACGTGAAAATGAACAGGTTAACAGGTAATGACTTTATCTAGATTTTTGGGTATTTTCGAAATGCAGCCGATAGTCTCGTATAATATACAACGCCCGTCTATACATATACTACGTGCACACAAATAATATACAAATTAGCATTTGGGGACCTCCTTTCTCCACTGATTTATGTGCTTCAATCTAATCCAATTTATTCCGGATTGCAGAAATGCACGCTAGGGGCGGGACGCTCTACGATATCAATGTGTATGTGTATTCGTACGAAAGACATTCAAATTTATTGCCTAGCGAAAAATTTGGGCGACGAAAATTATATATATACACACACACACATACACACGCGCGCTCGCGACGACGAGAGGAACTGGTTATATATATATATATATATAAAAATATATATACGGATGATAATATCGTGTTTTCCGATTTATATAAATGATTATCGAAAACTCGGTGGCATTGTGTGCGGTAGAAACTGCGTTTTATTTATTTAGATGCAGCAGAGCACCGTCGGGTCGCGCGTGAGTGCAGGGAATCAGCCGTGGGGCGAATTCGAATTTGGCCACCGTATATAATACACATTAACATCGAGTATGGGCGAGCTGGACTTATAACGATACCAACAGTACACATAACATATTTTATTTTATTTTAATGGATGAGAGAGAACGATTCCGTACCTGAAAAACGAGACTGGAACTGGTGAACGTGGGTCGGTTGTCGTTCAAGTCGAGCACCTCGACCCTGAGCATGCGAATCGTCTGTTTGGGCGGATGTCCGTTGTCTGTTGCCGCCACCGAAAGTCTGTACATGGATTTTTCCTCGTGGTCCAGTGACACTTTGGTTCTGATCACGCCCGTGATGCGGTCGATGAAAAACTCGCCGTTGCCATCGGAATCACGGCCTGCAAAAAAGGCGAACAGTACATTAATGTTTGGTTGTACATTATAATATAACATTGTACCTATATAGTATATATATAGGAATATTATAATAAGTAATAATATTATTTCGAGTTGCTGGTGCAGCAGGTCGGGGAGTGGTTTAAATCAAACCCCTCAGAATCGGAACAATGACATATCATATGAGATATAATATTACCGACTGGCGACTGCTCACATAACAATGGGTCAATCGAAAAATTAAAAAGATGTACCCATAGTGAATTCTGTATTTAATAATAAGATGCTATGCATTCTTAAGATGATTGAAAATGATAATAGGGGGAAAAAATCTGTACCACATACAAACGGTGAAGGTGAGTTACTATATAACCACATACCAATATAATAATTAATACCTAATTTAAATTTATACTAAACTGAGCATGTGGTCCTTCAATATTAAGTCAATGTTTCCTTTTAATTTTTCGGAAATGGCATTAATAAATTATAAAATGAAATCCATATATAATATATATCATGGTAAGGTAGTGTTTCGATTTCTAATTTATCGATCTTTAATCAAGTAAGACACACGTACCTTTAAGTATGGAATACGTGAGCGTAGCGTTGTTTCCTTGGTCAGGGTCGGTCGCCTTTACGGTGACCACTTCGACGCCGGGAGGTTGCTGTTCGCGGACCGCCACTACATCCTGTTGCGGGTCCACGATGACGGGTGCGTTGTCGTTGACATCCGTTACGGCCACCTTGACCTTTACGCGCTTGCTGCGACCCCTGACCCCGCCGTCTTGGTCCCTGGCCTCGACAATCACCTCGTGCCAAACCCGGGATTCCCGATCCAACGGCTCCTTAGTGCTGAGTTCGCCTGCATATAGACAAACAAATAAAATAAATATATGATTATTAGGGGTCGACATTTATGGTACTAACAATAATATTATGTTCGACATATGCTTGAATATGCAACTTCAAATTACAAAAAGTAACTACTTACTCTAAAACTACAGATTTCGCTAATAAATATAATAGGTGCTTAATGGTTAATATCACTATATTGTGAAAATAAGGTATTAATGTATTATTGAATTTGTCAAATTTGAAATTTTTGTAAAATACACTGCAAAGTCAAACTTTGTATTTAATTTCACCATTTCCCAAAAGAAATACCTACCTATATATTATCTTACCAAGAATATTCTTCAACCATCACTAAATTACATGAAAATACGAGAAAGCCCGAACTCTAATTATTATTATTATATTGCCACGTATATATGTGTGTGCTTGCGCACATTGCAGTGTGTTTGCACAAACGAGAATTGTAATGAAGAGAAGAAAAAAATTAGTTTTATGATGTCTATCGGTCGTCGTCGTTGGGTTTGGTCGGGCGTATATATAATATTATGTAGTGTTTGCGTTTCTTTATCGCGCCTCACACGAGCGTCGTATTATTATTATTATTATTATTATTATTATATAGTTTAGAAGGCCCCGTCTATTATTTATATTATACACTTTCTCCGTTCGGCCGACGTAGTGTTTTTTTTTACGACCGTCTGAGGTAAATATTAGGATTGTATCATAAACGCGAGAGCGGACGGGTTAACTCATACGCTATATACATATATTCAAATGTATATACGCCGCCGCAGACGCCCGAACAGGGGGCTGTTATAATATTGAGTGTATATACGATGCAGGAGAAGGGTAAAAAGGTTGACGTTTTTAATAGCTGCGTTTCAAATGTATTTATTTTTTGTTGAACGCACGCACACCGCGTTTCGGGTTTGTCAATATTTAGGCGACCGCGCGGCGGCTTCAGACACAGGTCCTTTGCGCAAACGATTGTAATATAGATGTACCAGCTAATGTATGTATGTGTGTGTGTTCGGGATAGGTATTTATTTCTGAAAGAAAATTCCACTTTAGGGTGAGGCATCCTAGCCCCTCTCCCACCGGCTGAAGCCTTCAGTGAGATTGTGGAGCTATAGTTGCGACTCGCGGCATAGCAACGTAGGTACGATCGAGCAGAAGAAATCGCATCACGGTTTAGAATTATTTCTTCAAAACCTATACGTACAGAGTTTCTGGGCGTAAAAGAGTTGGTGTTACAAATACGCGAGCACCTACCTATATAATATTATACCTACCTACCGTATACACACTACACACTCACGGATATTCTCTTTAATGATCGATGTAATCAGCGGAGGCGTTGGCCGCGTGTAATTTAGAAACTGAGGGCAAACGAAACGAATGGAATCCAGCGGAGAGAGACTACGGAATATAATATAAGACAATCGTTTCGACGACGATTCTCCTACGCGCGTAGGCAGCCCGTTTAATTAACGCTCGCGGTGCACATGCGATATCGGCGGCTCGACGACGGACGGATATTATTAATAATGGATGACAATTATTATCGTCGGACTATGAATTAATATTATATCGTTCGGCTATCGAGTATAATACTATAATAAAAAATATATTTTATATACGTAATACGTCATGTCGTTTATAATATAAGATGTCCACCACTGTCGAGCGGTTAAAATATTATTATTATTATATGATTATTGTTATTATTATCATCATCGTGATTCGTGTACAGGTCCGTATTATTATTATTATTATTATTATTATTATTATTATTATTATATAGGTATACGCAATTAACCGCCGTTGTTGCAATAGAGGTTTCAGACTTTCAGTAGGTATAATGTGCACCTATACACTATACACGTTATTTTATTTATCTTCCGCTATAGCACCGATAGCGCACACGACGTTAAAACGTATAATTACCACTGGTGTAATGCTGGTGGTTTTTTATATTGTATAGGTACTCTCCGCGAACCTTATTGTTGTCGTTGTACTGCTGCTGCAGTTGTAGGTACACTCACGAGCAACAATAAACTCGGAAACGATAAAACGAATAAAACAATGGGAATTTCGAGTGATAAAAGTAAAAATTAGAGACATAAATTCCGAACGCATAATAATTATTATATTATATTATGAAAACGTATTTGCACACGTTTCGCCCGGTTACACTGCGCCGCCGCTGAACCTATTATATTATTATATATTATTTATTAGTTTATTAATAATTTATTATAATAATGCGCGTTCGAATAACGATGGATGTTGTATAGCAGAAAACCGATTGTATTAATCCGCATCTATTAGTCGGTCGGTTAAATATGTGTATTGTGTAACATAATAATATGTAAACCAAAATTGATTAATAAGCGAAACTATAAAGGCTATAAAGAATGATTCAATATATTATTCAATTTTCGCACTAATTATATTTTCAAATAGACTATCTTTTAAAAAAACAACAGTCTAATATTTTTTTATTTGTTTAATATTATATACCTAAGTACTATTGATCCATCAAAATATATCGGGTATAATATCTTCTAATTTACGATACATTAAAATAATAATAGCCTGTCGTTCACCAACACGATTTATAGCACATGAATTCCAGAATAAACATAATTTTTCCACAAAATTCAGAAAATTTGTTTTTCTTTTTATTGTACACGATTATAATTATGTTGTTTAATGTTATGTTTTTTATGCATACTTAAAAATAAGGCCTAAGGAGTTGACTATTTCTCTTGCGCCCATATACCTACACTTATCTTGACATAAAGCTGTCAATATATGAGCAAGACGGTCATTAAACTCGACTATTAAAATACGCACAATATTGCATACCTAAGCAAAGGACTTAAGTATAGCTAAAGAGAAAAGTTATAGAAGCGTCCAGTTCATGTAATAATCGAATTTTTCGATAAAAACAAAAACAAAAACCCGACTGACAACTATAATAATAATTGTATATAATATGAACGAGGAACCTCGGAAGTAAATCGGATATAGGTTGTTGCCCGTGTCAAGATTTAATAATTTATATGGTTAGATTTGCTAATAATATACAATATTAATGTATACTTTTCTAAGTTACAGTGGCGGCGATTAGCGAGCGATCGGGTCCTATACACAAAAGTCGGGAATTATGATTCTATATTTTCGTCCGTTCCGGGACGTGATTAATTATTCATATTGAAAATACCAATTTGTAGGCGGGCTGTTCGTTTTGTATTTTTTACAAACACACACACAAACACATTTATATATATATATATATAGCCCAAGTATAATAGCCAACGGCAAGTCGATGCGTATAATAATAAGGAGCCACCACTGAAGTTAGTGATCAAGCAGCAGCAGCAGCAGCAGCTATATACAGCAAGGTAGTAGGTATATTTTAGGTATATGAAGTCTACCTATATGCAGGCCTCAGGGTGTATCCGACCTCAAGGCCTCTCCGATTGTTTTTTTTTATCCATCAACCGCTACATCGCGCGCGTTACACGCGGGTACTTCGGGTAGGTAGGAGACTTATATATAAGCACGCGTTTATATTATATACATCTGGTATTATCATAACCGCGTTCGGCAGCTTGCAGCAGAGCTATTGCTATATAGCAGGAATTGTATGAAAAAAAACCACTACCATTCGACGGCAACGAAGACTACGACGACCACGACGACGATCACCAGAACAGAGACGCACGCGAACCAGACACGCACAAAACCGAAAACTTACACACACACACACACACACACACACTCGTATAAGTACCTATACTATAAAATATCGTGTACCTGTTGTAGTACGGGTATAATATACACGAATGGTCCCGAGTCGACCCGTAATTTGGCGGCAGCCGCAACCGCACCGAGTAGTCCTCGAATATATCTATTCCGACCCAAATTGTCTATACATAACAACCATAATTTACGAGGAAATTGCTTTTGCACCACCGCCGCCGCCGCAGCTATCGATATATATAAATTATATGTGTGTTATTCTTTTATTATTGTTATTATTATTATTATTATTAATACACGAATATTTTCTATACACCAGACCACCGTAATTAGTAGATACCTATTTTGTATTTATATATAAATCTACCCCCTCGTATTATTAAATAACGTGGGTGGACCGTATTTTTTAAACTACCAGCCGAGAAAAACTTTAATACTAGCAGAATTTTTTGTTATTATTGACAAATACTTCGATATTTAAGTACAAATACCTCCCTCTCTCATATCAAGAATATAATTTTTAATCTGTTGTTTTGCACGCACGTTCTATGTATATTATAATAGATAGCGGCGGCAATATTATTACCGAGTTCGAATGTGTTGTGCTGTCGAGAGAATACGCGCCGCATATAAGTAGTCTTCGATGCGACCTAGAGTACGTATAATAATAATAAAAACATAAGTGGTTATGAGTACATATCTACAACACAAGTATTCCTATTTAGTTTGTTTATTCTCGTGCTAAGCGCGTCAGTTAAAATCGTATACAATATACGATGATACACATAATAAAAGTTTGGCCCCCAAATGCGGCTAGTCATTGAACGGGAGGGGAAAACACGGATCTTTTGAGCGCGTTCGCACAATATACACAATCCGCGCTATAATATTTATTAATTACTTCCACGTATATTATTATATCCTACTAGGTACTAACAATACCTACCCACGAATAGAAATTATAAACGTATTTTAATAATTAATATATTAGGTACCTATATTATAATATGCTGTTGCTGAGTATAATAGATATTTTACGATATCATGGTACACCTAATGTGTGCGCACCTCTTATGTGTGTTTTTTTTATGTATAGGTACCCGGACGGTGTTACCTATTACTGCTATAAGCATAAATGGGAACTGAAAGATACGAAAATATTATATTATAGTCGATCGTGTCGCGCGTCGAGAGCAAAGACCTCGAGTCGGCAACACCGTTGAATTAATTAAACTATGTAATATATAAGCGTGTGCGCGAAACAAAAGGCTCGAACGACGTAAGGTATACGATTGAGGCACAGAGGTAATGATTTCGAAAATGCCGCCGTGTACAGTTTGGAAGCTCATTAGTCGTTGGCACGAATTTAAAAAAGTGCATCTTTGTCAAACGTATACTACACACTGACGTTTATGTTATGTTGTTACACGCCTGTATAGTCGATGTACACAATAAATATATACTATAGGCAATATTAGGTATGTATACCTACGTGATATACGCCTAGCTGTTGTCGAACTATACAGTATACGGAAATCATTCAATTCGTTGGGTGAACATATTAAAATATTTGTAATACGCGTGAGTGCATGTAGGTATTAGTCTCTGCACAGCGTATCTGTCTACTCTCCAACTGGAATACTTTTGAAAAGCATCACCACGAATGAATGAGGCAGTAGGAATTAGTTGCATTTAAATTCATTATATAAATAGCCTATATAAAAAGTTCTTACCAAAATGTCCTGAATTTCCTTAAAATAGGTCCACTTATTAATGAACCTACTAACTTATAGTGTTGGTAACTCACATAATGAAAAAAAGAGAGCGCGTGCCTTTCGTATACGATGTGCAATATAAATTATGGTCAACACTTACCGGAATACAGGTTGATATTGAAACTCGAGTTGGAAGGTATGAGCGAGTACCGGAGCAGCGCGTTGTCGCCGGCGTCGCGGTCCGTGGCGGAAACAGCGCCGAACGCCGTGCCAGCCGGACGGTTCTCCTCCACGTGAAACTCGTAGTGCTCCCTGTCGAACTCGGGATCGTTGTCGTTAACGTCGGCCACGGTGACTACCACAACCACGGTAGCGGCCAGCGGTCCCGGCGACCCGTTGTCCGAGGCCACCACTGTCAGCTCGTATGTGTCCTGCGTTTCCCTGTCCAGCGGGCCCTTGACGTACACCCATCCGGTACCGGGGTGCACGTCCAGCGACCCACCGCCGTCACCACTAGAAATCCGGTAAGTGACCCGAGCGTTGTTACCGCTGTCGCCGTCCAACGCCGTCACTTGCACGATCTGCAAGACATAAAGAAAAGTGGATGTTATTATACAAAAAAAATTGTTCGGTCACAGTAACATAGGTAGTTACGACAACTCGGCAGGATTTTCTGGGGTGAGGGGTGGTCTAGAGCGTGGACGCCTCTAAAAAGCTCTCTACTGTACCAACATAATATATTTTATACGTCATTGAGTACATAATATTATCATTATAACGCACCGCGATATATTATATCACTGTCAGGGGGTGGGATGAGAGATTTATGCTGTTAAACGGTGGCGTTGACAATATTTCATTGCGACCACGATGCCGGTGAATCTTAAGCCACTTATACATATTATATATTATTATACACTGCAGCAGTATACCGCGGGCGATTTAATGTAGAACACGTTTATGAATATAATAATAATAATAATCGTACGCGGAATACGCGAGGTAACACAACGCGCGCGTTAAAGTGAATTAATCGAGTCCGAGATTAACGTCAGCGGACCCCACTAATTTATTGGCGTCCGCGCGACCAGATTATACTGTCCGCGCGCGCGGGTTACCGCGGTATACACACACACACCGCCAGGGCACGCGGTATTAATATATATAATAATATCACGTCCAAGCACACAAGATGAACGCGATACGCATCTAAATCCGACACATTGTCGTCGTCGTCGGATCGACGCCTCGGAAGAACACGCATAATAATATAGCTATGTGTATTAAATTATTATATATTTATATAATTATATATAGGACTAGAGTGTTAGCAGCAGCCTACCTACGCCTCGTTCGAATCCCGTATACACGACGCGTTGCAGCCATATTGTGGGTAGGTGGTATACTGGTATATCTATAACGCGGTTATATCGAAACGAATGGAAAAATAATAAAACAGATGGAGAGAAAACGTTGTGCGCGCGGTGACGACCACCGCCTGCGCGGCATTCCCGGGCGTGAACTATACGCGCGACCCCGGCGAGACCGTCGTGGGGTGGGAAGGGGGTGGGGACACGGACGCGTCAAATCGTATTATATTATAATATTAGGTGGTACGTATACACATGCGGTCGTCCATCAATCACCGCCGCGATTCGGCCCCGGTGACGACGAGTAATTATCGGGACTCGCAGTTCTGCCAACACAATGACGCATTGTTCGCGCCTCGTTGGGGGCCTTGCACGACACCCCCCCGCGCGATGATGTTAATATAATATATTATATTATGTATAATATGCCGCGTCCCCGGGGAAAATCGATAGGCTGCAGCAGCGCCAATGTCGATGTATTTTATTATTATTATTATTATTATATTATATGATAAAAAGACGTACGTATAACTATTATTATTATTTCGTTTTGTCTTTGTACACCCCACTCATCGCCCGACCACGTCTTTGGCGGTTGACGATCTCGTTACAATATAATATGTAGATATACCAGTGTTATTATTATATTATTATAATTTATAATGTTATCGAATCTCCTATAATACGGTCTCTCCGGTCTCCGCAGAGATATTGGTGTTGTACTACACGGGGCGGCGAGGACCCCATCAAGGGGCGTTTCATCCGGAAAGAAAAAAAAAATGATGTAATAAAATAATAATCATTATTATATTAAACCCCTTCCAGCGCACGATCTACATATAGATGCATACATCGCGTGTATTAGATTATCAGTCATTATAATACTATGAAGGTATTATATTATTATTATACACGTGCATTGTTGTCCCGAGTTATTAATAATATTATTAAAGGTATCGCGCATTAACTTGCCGTCGTCGTTTATTGTTTAATTGGTTCGCCCCACGGAATACTTTTCTAGTCGCGCCGAGCTGCAGCCGTGTAAAGTGTGGTTGCTCCCCCCACCGTCCAAATCGTCCAACATACCCCATTGTAAAATTCCTCACAATTATATCGTTTTATTATGGGCTGTTATAGGTATGTTAAAATTCAGTAAATAGGAAGATAAATTTTTTTTCAAATAACCTCTACAATCGGTAAAACTACGGGTCTTATCCGGCTGGTTCATGTGCTTGTGTATATATTAACCCGGCGGACGGTGTGTTGTACGTATTATTATTATTGCAATCGGAATGCGAGGACAATACCGTCGTGTGGTTCCGTTATAATATTCCGACGCGAAATCATGACTGTGACCCCCTCGCAAGTCGATGGTCATTGCGCTCGCGCGCTAGGCACCCGTGTTGTACCGTTATTAATTAACGAGAGTGTCGTGACAACGGACGACGTGGGAACGTCGTAGCGTTTTCGGTGGGCTCGTTACTAGTACATGAAAGTGTAAAATAAAAGCTACTATTTATTATTTTAACTTTTTTGGGGAGGGCTGAGGACAAATAACACCAACTCATAAAAATGCTTCAAAGACACACACTCTTTTACTAGATTAAATAAGAAAAGTAGATTAAGGTAAATTATAATTATAGATTATGTATTTAAAAGTAAATGTCTTGTTATTATTAATATTTTTTTTATTATATTATAATCGGGGAAAGGTCATAGGTAAGTTATAGATTTACAAATATCTCGTGAATGAAATAAAAATAGGTATGACATTGATATGGCGACAAACATTGCATTCCCGAGCTAGCTTATAACAGGGTTGGTTCAGGTGAATACGAGTGTGTGACCATGTTACATATGAGTGAAGTAGTTTGGGTATGAGTACTTGCGTTTATATGGTATATGGTTATGGGTTACGATGGTATACTACTATATTAGGACCTATTTATAATCGTCAAAATATATTCTTACCTGTGAGTTGACTGGCAATGATTCCAAGACGGTGGCCGCGTAATGTGGTCTCTCGAATACGGGTGGGTTGTCGTTGATATCCTGGACGTCCACCACCAAGGTCATGTTGTCGGACAGAGACGGCACCCCCGAGTCTCTGGCGATCACGGTAACCGTCAGCCTGTGCACCGTCTCGTAATCCAATCCATGGATCAAGCTGATCGTACCACGGTTGTGGTCTACTTGGAAGTACGACGGTTCCTGTGTAGAGGCAATCAGCTCGTAGTGAACCTGTCCATTGGCACCAGAATCCGGGTCGGTCGCGTGTGCCGTGTATATCGGAGATCCCGTCGCCACATTTTCCGGTACAGCGATTCTCACCGAACTTGAATCAAAATGCGGTGAGTTGTCGTTTTTGTCTTCGATTATTATATTCACCTGTAATTGATTACATATTATATATAGTGACATATGGCAAAGTCAAACAACGTGTTATTTTCAAAAATAGTTTTTGAAAAACCATCGGAAGTACGGACCCTCAACGCGTAACAGTATATTATATGATTTAATAATAAAACAATATTATTATCTTCTTTAGCTGAATACTTTCTATTTTAAAGCGATCTAAAATCGCGCCCCACAGGAGACATTTTAAAAGAACCGTCATAAACATAACTGCAGTTTCAGTAGGTATAGGTACTGTGATGAATGTGCAATCGTTTGAAACTGCAATCGTTAAAAAATATATAACACACACCAAGACGGCATATTATTATATTATAGGTACGCATATTCGTCCGAGTCTATGGAAAATATTGACAGTTTAACGATCTTCGTATATATAGTTGCTTATCCGCGGCAAATTGTACGGGCACCTATATAATAAGATTATACTCGTACGTACCTAAATATTATAATATTCATCCGTTGATATATTTTACTATCGGTAAAAACAACAAACTAGGTACATATAAGCGTTCGAAATAAACGTCGCGCCGGGCCTAAGTGGGATTTGTTTTATTACACACACACAAACACGTCTTCGATACGGTGTTGAGCGCGTTCGGGTTGTAAAGGTTTTGCACACGTAGACCATTAAGTCAACATAAACTCATAAATGCCCCCCCCCCTCCCCGATGGGCGCACCTGCATCACAACACTGGCGCAATTAAACAGTTTTACAACTGATCGCGGTCTCTCTCGTTAAACCGATCGTGTGTGCATTGATCCCGCTATAGAGCAAAGAGTATAATATGTTTGTGTGTGCGGAGTGAAAAATACAATTCTTAAAAAAAAAAAAACCGAACGTTTATAACGTATATAACACGTCAATATCACGGCGCATGTACGAACACAGCCAGCTGCACTGTTGTAGGAATGTGTGCACAAAAGGTTATTAAATAAAATAATATTATTATGTTATGTTTATACACTTACTTGAGTGTGCGCTCCGTAATATTTGTTCGTCGCCGAGTAGGCTTTGACGTTGAGTAGAACCGATTCGAATGATTCGTGATCCAACACGGCTGTCGTTTTGATTACTCCTTTTACCGGGTCTATAGCGAAATATCCGTTGGCCTCGTCCGAATGAATGGCGTACCTCAGAGATTCCGAATCGTCCAAACCTGTGACACGGATCATATAAATTCGTCAAATTTAATAGTATAGGTACATCAAAACAAACAAACAAAAAACATATTAATAATTATAAAATTAAAGATAAATAAAAAAAAAACAATAATAATATAGATTTAGGTTGGACGGATGGTGGATCTACGGTAGCCTATACTTTATGACGTATAGCCGGTAGGTACACTGATTTTTTTATTTAAAAAAAATTGGTTTTATGTATAGTTTGAATTTTGAAATACTATAGGTATTAATAATAATCAACAGTTGTACTTTTAACAATTCATTTTTGAAAAAACAACTTCACTCTTGAATAAAATCATTATTTTACTGTCATCGGGGGTAAAACAGACCTGTAAAATATATATAATATTATACCCATACCAGAGTTAAAAAAATTTTTTCTCCTTAATCATATTCATTCTATATTGTGTTAGAAACGATCGAAGTCGAGACTAATATCATCGCATTACCCAAGTGAACACAATTGGTGTATCTATATAGGCTGCATATAGTGACAGACTTGCAGCCATCATCGTTGTCAACAATAAGAGCTGTCGTGCGTGCGTTTAAATATTCATAATATATGATATATATATATATATAACTTGGTGAGCACATAAACACTACGATGGCGTTAAATGCGCTTGTCGGCGGTATTTCAGTATATATATAAATATAATGATAATAATAATAATAATATAATACGAGAACAACGACGAAGCGGCGCGTACACAGAAATATTGACCGGTAGCCGTTGTGTGAGCGGCTGCAGCGGCAAAGATATTACATCATTTCTACGGACCGGTTTATTCGAAAATTAAAAAAAAAAACTCCCCGTGTTTGAGCAAAGATTTTTTTTTGATTGAAAAATAGTTTTGATGGAAAATAAAGAACAGAAATCGGAAATGATTGACATCCCCACACTCGCTCAGATTTCCTCGGTGGTATAAAATATAGCTGCAGATATATTATATTCGGCTGCAGAAAACGTCATCTCGGTCTGCTAACGTGCAGTCTCCCGAACACGATTGATCTGCGTGCGGGCGGATATCAATCGATATATTTAATGCAATAATAATATGGTCTATATAATATTATATTATCGTAAAGATCGGAGGGCAGCTAGTCAGTACGGGTTGGGCTATTCTGCAGAGAGGGTCGCGGCGCGGCTAGCACAGATTAACATTTAATTAAAATCCAGAAACACCGGTTGACCGGGCGCTCGGAAAAATCAGACGCAGTTATAGAGTGGGGATGGATTACATACACACACCACATACATATATAATAATATGCACATCCGTAGGATGACGTGAGATTTTAATAGAACCGAGTGTGTTTTGGCCGGCATATATATATTATAATATGTGTGTATACACGAAAACCACGAACGATTTACATAAATCTCATCCCGCGCTACGATTTTTTGTTGTTTTTGTTCACCATCTCGGGACGATCCGTCGTCATCGCCCGGCGCAGCAGCGGCTTACCGATATCGGAGGGGTCCACGTACCGAAATATGACATATTCGGTTTTTGGTTGTTTTCCTCGTCTATTGTTGACTCGTCGTAAATTCGTCGACTTCGGTCGAAAAAACGCCACGTTCCGGTTTATTTAATTTGAATAAAATTTTAATAACGACGAGAAATTCGTTTGGACCGGCGGCGGCGGTGATAAATAACTACTGCGGGGCCGGGGCGAGATAAGTAAACGGACATAAATTGTGGTCGTTATGTACGCACGCACGTGTTCTCACACACACTCATGCACACACACACACATAAACACACACCACATAGCCAGTAAGTATTCTATATATATATATACACGTGTATATACGTATAATTTAATATAATATATATATTTATTATTATACATAATTGTATATAGGTACACTCGCACGGGTTGAGTCGTAAGTTGTACGTTTGTAATTTTTCGTCGACGAAAGGGTTTTTTACTTTCGGCTATTACTCGATATGTTCGATTATAGTAGAGGAGGCAAGTATGAAGAAGTCATTTTAAAATCAACGATTAAATTTTACATTATTTTGAAGTATTACGTATGATCTGACGGGGGATTGCATCGCATGTGAATGTTATCGCAGGCATATACAATATTATGGTAGCTTAAAGTTTTAATTTTTATTTCGCATTAAATATCCGATATCGTATCCGACTATGCGCTACGCGGTATACAGCTGTATAGTCTTAATAAGGTCGGTACGCGTAGACACGGAAAAAATGGGGGCTTTACGCAGGATATACTGTTCTAGCTGTTGAACGTGGATAATATTAAACTCAGGCGTGCGTGAGAATAAATATATAACTATATTATACCGATCGATCGACCTAATCGATTAGACACGTCATATATAGGTATATATATATATATATGTATATCCGAACCAGTTAGTTAGTGAATTTCAATCTGCAGTAGCGGACAACGACGCGTGTCGTATTGCGACGATCGTCGTCGGGTGGTATAATTATAATGAGCTGGCCGTTCGTGCAAACGGCCACGGTGGCCGCCGAATTTCCAAACAGTCGTACAGATAAAGGTAATAATAATAATAATACTTACTACTTAGTAGTAATATATGCCTAGCACGACTCAGCGAGGGAGACTGCACGGTTAGAAAGAAGTCAGCGAGTGCACGGATGGGACGGTACATATTGTATAATATATGCGCGCGCGGGATATTATGTATACGTCTCGTAACTTACCCCCCCGGAACGGATCGTGATCGGATGCGAAATGAAGACGTATTATTGCGAGATATATATACACTTCACGACTCGAATCATTCCTATATGTGGTACCATGCTACATTCCGATTTTTTTTATTTTACATATATTCGACTTTTGTGTCGTGCTCGGTCTCGGTGTGTGCGTGTAGTGGCTGCCGTTTTCGCGATCTCTGCTCAGCACCTGCACTAAATAGGTATATATATATAGGCACTATGTACACTTTTTGACTTGTACGACGACGTTTCCGCACGAAGGATTCTTCTCTTCTCTCTGTAGTATACCTATATATATATATATATACACATACATGTATGTGCACTTATACGTTCGAGCGACGAGGACGACTTGCCCCCCATCCCCCAGCTAGCTACCACCCACCCACCATCCATCCAGGTGCTTTGAATCCCTTGAGGGGGTTGCTGTACGTACCTGACTGATTGGGCGACACCGACACAGTGCCGACGGCCGTGCCCACCGGTGCGTCCTCCGGCACCGTGAATGAGTACTGCGACTTAATGAACACGGCATACGGTTTCGACGGGTCTGCGGCCAACACGGCGATTCGGACTCTGGCCACTTGAGCGGCCTCGTAACCACTACCATCCCTGGCGGCCACTAACAGCCTGTAGACTCCCGACCGCAATTGCGCTGCCCATATCTCGCCTGTGTTGCCGTCCAACCGGAACGACGTCTCCGAGTCCTCGCTATCGGGTCCTGTGAACACACGCACAACAATATTATTTTAAGTTTTGGAGTTGTGAATACTGCAATGTGTTTAAACACTTGTTACGAATATCAACAGCATGCACTACAAAATTCTAAAAATTAGCGAAATTATTTTCATTTTTTAATTTCAATACTATATACAATAATATATTATTTCCGTACACGGTAAATTAATGAAAATTGAAAGATATTTTAGATAAATATTTGTGATATTAGTTATATCATTGTATTATTTAAAAGATTGAATGAAAAATGAAAACAATCATAAAATTGCTATATTATCCTAGTAATATTATTATTGAACATTTTATTTGCTGAAAAAAAACAATCTTAAAATAAAAGTAAAAATATTATTATGTAACTCAACAATGATATATCTCAGGAATACCCAAAGGCTGACCAAAATAGACAAATTGTTTAAATAAATGAATGAAAAATGCAAAAAAATATAATTTCTTATATTATGCATTAAACAGATGTTTAAATGTACAAATGTACAAATGTTTGAATAGTATATTATATTGTAAAACAAAATATGTAGATCCAACTTAATTGTTTCTTCTAATTGTAACTAAAAAAAACCACATGAATGCATTCAATTTCCTGTAGCTCTGGTTAGCTGGTTCCCCGTTATATACTGGTTATTATATGTCCATAAAGGTGCATAGGATTAAGTCTGATATAGTATAGTTTAGATAATTTTACCATTGGGTACATTTTATAATATATTATATACAGTTGAATATTGTGGCAGTAAAATAGGGTTAAAATAATGATTTCTAACGGTATGAATTTTACGATAAAAAGTTACCACTCATTTGCTAAAATATTTTTACGTTATCTCGTTATAGATCTCCTCGATAAAATTCTAGTTATACCTATACACCGCTATATATATACTAGTTAGTTAAACGTTATCTGATTGTATAATATATCAGCTACTGGACTATTAAAAATGGTCCAATCGACTGGGTCAAAGACTGCACGAGTTTATTGAAGAAATATTTCAACTATATATTATAAATGATATTATAATATAAATGTATTTATTTATCGCTTCATGTATATGTGACATGATATAGTTATATGCGATATGTGCACTAAATATCTATGTATATAATATATTATAATATAGGTATACCTATGTAATATGTTGGGTTATCGTATGGTATACACATGACGAAAACACAACACAATATAACCGAAAAATGTTTGGCCGTCGGACGAGAGTAAAGTTGTAGTCGTATAATATATTATCAGTATGCGTGTGTGTATACGAATTGTCTTTTGTGTGGCTGTATTTTAATGCACAGGATATTCATAACATAATAATATAACAGAACGACAGAGAAAACCACAAAATTAAAAAAATTAAATAAAAATTTGAGAAATCATGTACAACCCATGGGTTGCAACGTAAAAGTTTTTACGTCGTGAATCTGACAATGTACCTACTATTGATAATAAACACAAACGCGTGTCATTTACAGTTAAATTTGAAAACTATTGCGGTTTGGGTATATAAACCTACGTGTCTTATAACGTGCAGTGTAGTTATTTCAGATTTAGAATTTTGATATATAGGTGCAATATTGTACTACTATATTGTATTATAAATTATCTTTATTATGATGGATACGTATTATTCACTATATTGCTGTGTACAATAATTATAGACCTACATTTTCTACGATTCCATCAAATTTAAGCGAGTCGTACGCGAAAAAAATGTATATGGTTATTAATCTTATAATATATAGGTAGGTACACTATATACCTACAGTCTATACGATAAGCCCGGGGCAGATCGATGGTTTATTGGGTTTAATATAATATACAACAGAATACTGCACACGATGATAATATTATAATTATTTCATTTTTATGACACATACCTTTAGCTGATATCATATAGTAGGAAACTACGCCGAAAGATCCGGAATCCGCATCCTTTGCCCGGACCGTGACAATGGGTCCTTGCTCGGTGGGGCTCCACACGATGGACACGTTGTACTCGGAGGGTGAGAAAACGGGCCAGTTGTCGTTGACGTCCTGCACGTCCACTTTGACCACGGCACTCGTGCTCAGTCCACCTACAGAGCATAATGGATCGTTACAATAATATATACGGACTATTGACTGTTGACAATTTATGTGTATTAAATTATATAATATTTTGATGGGAAACATATCACCGCTGTATATTGTGTCAGTCGGTGAAATGCAGACCAGTCCGTGTACCCGGCACCCCCATTTCAAAACTGTTCACTACAGTACGTATTATACTTTGGAAAATTAGTACCCTATTAGTAACTTATAATATATGGTGTGTAATTCAACTTCGCGGGGTGCTTTACTGGCGGACGCAGTTCGGGTGAGTATAATATATCATGTTACGTCTTCGGCGATGAAAAGCGGCAATAAAATCCTACAATACATAGACGGCGCGTGCGAGGGAGAGCGGTAGTAGCTGTTAGATGGATAGATAGAGGTAGAAAGAGAGATAAAAGTATATATATAGAGAGAGAGAGATAGAGAGAGAGATGTGTTGAAAGACAAGGGATGAGCCACAACGAAGCACAGCAGCAGGTGGCCGGTGATGCTGTAACAGGAGGTGAGGCCGAGATATATGCTTATGGTCGGATAGATTTCAACGGATCGCTCGGAGGTGCTCTGCAGCGCACTCGAAACCGCCCGATAAGCATCGGACGCGTCTGCGAGTCAACCGGTTTACGCGCGCGCGACCGCTCGAGTTGGATCTTTGATTTATCGACGGCAAGTCGCGCACAAAACGGCCACGCGAGAATATATAAAAATGTGTACATCACAACATTATTTTGGTGCATGTACGCGTTTTGCCAAAATAAAAAAAAATTTACGTATATTTAAATTATTGCTATCGAAACTCCGGAATAAAGTGGAAAAAACAGTGTCATCCAAATTTTGCGTTGTACAAAACTGCAGGTGGGAATTATTTCGCGTACTAATCAATTTTATAACGCAAAATTCAAGAACTCTTTTCGTGTCAAAATATCATCAGCTGCTATACAGCCATCTATTACATATTTATATTATATAAGGCTGCAGCACCGACCGCCGTTACCGCATAAATCTATAATATAATAATATCCACCCATGTGGGTATATCAGCTATATATATTATATAGGTAAAAAGGTACTCTGAAAAGGCGTTTCTATACTATAGGTACACATTTAGGTATATCCATATTATGATATCGTATAATTAGGCACTTATGTACTGTATAATGATTTTCCGAGTAACAAAATTACTTAGAATATTATAATACCGTCCATCACGCGGGTCGCCGTTAATTAAATTTAATAGCAATATTAGATGGTTCCAACGGTCGTTTATTGTTTTTAATTTAACACACTCACCCCTGTCGGTTGCCACCACCGGAAACTCGTACAGCTTCCGGGTTTCGTAGTCCAACTGTCTGGCCAGACATATTTCACCGGTCGCCGATTTAATAGAAAACGGTCCACTGTTTTCGGACAGCGTGAAGTTCACCATGGAATTGACGCCGCAATCCGGATCCGACGCCGACACCTGCGGGACAAAAAAGTACATTGTTCATTAGTAACTGCACGCGGAACACATTATTAAAATAATATTGAACACGAGAAAACAATAAACAACTATAAGCCAGAATGTAAATGTAATGTACATAACGGCGTTTCGGTACGCACCACCGGAGTGTGGCCGGAGAGAGCGCGTCACACGATTCGTATACTTATTTATAATAACGCCACGGCCGAGCGTAGGTATACGATGCGCCTTACAATATATATATCGTTTATAATTGAATTCTACGTCGTTGTTTTAACGACCCATAAAATACACGTACGTATACTTATTAAAATAATATGTATATACAAACGTTCGTCGTTATTTTCGGCCAATCGAACTCGACGCGTGTCTTTATGCGCAGTGAACGGTTATAGAAAAAAAAAACATTTCAAATACGATTTATACGATATATTATAGGCGGTGTATAAATTATTTAATAATGTATATATTCGACGGAGTCTACGGAAACGTCAACGTTTTAGATAATACTAACGAGGATGTAACCTAACATATAATATATTATATACATGTATTCCTAGTTGAATTTCGGGTATTCGGGTACAAAATACCGACGGGATGCAATAGGAGTTGTGATTCGTAAATAAAACTCAACCGACGGTTCATTTGGTAATGTTTGTATAACGAAACTATACGATACTATATATTATAAAGTTTACATGACACCCAAGCAAGTTACACCACCCAATATATTATTAGGTATACTAAATACTTCATAATTTTACAATATAATAATGTTTCATTAATATCTTAGATATTTAGCATCATTAATGTATTTCACCATTATTATGTAGGAATATTTATAGTCCAATTGTATTCATGTGATTTTTATTTAGCAACGACATAGAAAAGCTAATGAAAAGTTTTTTCGATTCCATACAATAAGAAGTTTTTCGTCCAGCGCATTAGAAACACGTCATTGTGAAATATTGTATATATCTATAGGTATTTTAATATTAAAGGTACAGTTGTGTATACGTTTTTAAACTTTTGAACACTATACGTATGTATATCTGTGTATATAATTATATGGCATGCTCAAACTTAGCTGCAGCAAATAAAAATAATAATAAGAATAAGAATTTCGATCGTTCGATCCACGCACACACTAATTTAACCGGCGAGTGCACATGGACCTCGAGTGCACACTGCACCAGTGGAAACCATGGGTAGGTATATATTATCTAAACAAAGTCGACGACATGGCTGCTCGAACGACAAAAAAACAAACCGAAAATAATAATATATGGTATAATAATATAATATAATATATAATATACGAGCAGAGGACACACACACACACACACACACACACCACCGGTGAACGACCCGACTATACGCGTCTCCAAGATCATAAATTGAATTCATCCACCGGCCAGGAGAGAGAGTGATAGAAAGAGAGACAGAGAGAGAGAGAGATGGAGACTGAGGGACGGACCGAGAGACTCTGCAGATCGGCCGAGGCGATAACTACGCGTACCTATATGCCTTACGCGTATTATACGACGACGAGCAACGGGTGACCGAAACGGCATCTTCAATTGCAGCTGTCCCCTTATGGTCTCAGTCCGCGTTCTGTGCGCCGCAGAAGCGCATTCCGCGTCATAGGTATAAACGCAGATGAGGAGAAACGAGAGCGCTGCAGTCCACCGCCGGGTTGTATATAGGTGTGGGCGAGCGCGTTTCTATTATTGTAATAAATATATTATATGCCTAAATCGACCGGATTAATGTAAACAAAAATGTCGGCATACCCGGTTTCCTGTTTTCGTAAAATATATAATTTATAAGACATCACGCTTGTTGCATCTTATCGCGACTTGTTTCGTATGGCGTTTACACGATACATTATATATTATATATCGTAGGTGACTCGGTCGTGTCCACGGCCTGCAAGCGCGTAATAAAATGGTTTAGGAAAAAAACTCGAAAAATGCGGTTAAAAAAAAAAAAAAAACCGAACAGAGTAAATATCATTAATTTTAGCACGCCACGTCTATTATGCGAGTGTATTTTACCTATGTGTGTATATATACACGCTATGCAACAGTCGTCGACGAATAATAATTATCATAACTAGATCTATTATATAATGCCTATAATACTACTCCGTGCGTCCGGGTGCGCGAGTGTGTGTATGTGTGTTGTGTTCCAAATTTATTCAATTCAGACGCACATATACATATACACAGTACACACACACACACACACACACGATTTATTTATATTTTTGAATTGTTTCGCAAAACAGTTAACGCCGTGGCACTGATTTACCGATACATATATACACAGATGGGAGGCGTGCAGCGTTTTAAACGATCATAATATATAATATACGTATGCGCGATAATTGCGCCCGCGCGTAATTACACGGTCGTAAAACGGTAGCTTTAAGATTTTAAATGCCGTATAATTGCGAGTTTCGTTTTTCGACAAAACACGAACGCGCGCTCTAATATGGCCAAACACCGCCGCCGTCCATATTTATAATAATAGTTATACATTATACCTATATAGGTATGTATGGTATGTATGTATGTTTGGTTATCAGCTATATATAGGTACATGTCGCGTGTCGCATATAACTATATAAGCGTTGGATTCTTCCGTAACTATCGTTATTACGAACCGTTTGGCGCGACCGATTTCCCTTACAATATATTAATATGACGTTTAATAGTATATAATATATTTGTGAATACTCGTATATTATACATTGTGTTGTACGCCTACACATCATTTATATCATCATCATTATTATAATATAATATTATTCTTATATTAAACCTAATATATACGCGGTTAAAATATACGACAGTGTTGCACGGTATCATATAAAACCCCGAGTCGACGAGCAAATGGCCGAAATTAAATCATAATAATATACATATTAATATATAAAGTGCGTTAAGGCACGACGTGTGTACAGATATATTAATATACGCGCGACCGTCTTACATATATATATTATATTATGGCCGGGCAGTTTCTTCTCTAATTATGTGGTCATCGTCGGCGTCGTCGTCGTCGTCGTCTTCGGGTTTCGGCGGCAACTCCGAGCAATTTGTTACGTTTTGACAGCCGGCCCCGGCGCGCGCGCTGACAGAAAGACCAGCACGCGTGAATTATTGGTTACATTTGTGTTCGCTTGCGTGTGTGTGACCGGAGGGCGTACGGTGGGGAAAAAAATGCAGAAAACAAGCATTACCGGATTCCGCGGAAAAATGTGTCCTACGCGCCAAAATTTTTAAAAAAAACATTATAGGTACATATGTGTGGCGTATAGGTAAGGTATATTATATATTATAAAATATATACGAGCATCCGCTGCAGAGCGCAGTGTGCGCAGCGCTTCTGTGCGCCCGGGGGCCGAGGTGAACGACACGCGAGGATTTTTCGCGAAAAGTATCAAATATATAAATCACGCGGATATCGATCCAATTATTTTCGGCGTCGTCGTAGCATTGCACTGAGCCCGGTTGTCGGTTCTCTGGTGCGCTGCAGTGCATAATCATCGCATTGTTTTTCGTATGCGACCGTCGTCGCGACGTCGTTATATTATATTATTATATATTATTTTGTATAATACCCATGTATAATAGCCTGCCGCTGCACTCGAACAAATTAATCCTAACCCCCAAAATGATGTATCGGTCTCGTATATTATGTATATAGTCAGACCGTGTCTTCCATTTATTTGGATTATAATATGCAAACCACCGAGAGCAGATAGCAATCTCCTCCATATATATTATATATATTGTATATTGCATGTGTGAGTGTGTATGTGTGCATTCGTGTGCGACTGGTCGTCGTCGAGTTATTTCCTCCTCCTACCACCCGTTTCAAAGTTCCAATTATTAGGTATATACGCCGCTGCAGATGATATACACACGCAGATTCTGATCGATAAACCTCGCAGACGACATTTGAAAAACTCGATGTTTTTATAGGACCATATCATATTATATGTACGAATACGAATAGGTATAAAATACCTAAGTGGATTCGTCTGGAAAACGTTTCGAGCTTTTTCCGCCCCGATTGTTAAACCTATATATATACAATATACCACTGTGATATTGTCACACGATTGAGAGTCATATAATATATATAGGTACGTTGTCGTGCCTATTATTAAGTGGCTCACCCTGTATACACCCCTACGATGTTGTGAAAATATATCATTCTGACGACGACTTGCTGAGATTATTTTCTACTACAGCAGTGCGCTCTGCCATATCGATTATGACGTTTATATTATGATAGGTATAGGTAAGTAAACGAAAACGCGTGATTGATCTCCAGCGGAGGGGTCCCGCCAAAACCGGTATTTAACTTATTTAAGTACAATAATATGTATACAGAATAATAATATATACACGGACATGTTGGGTAAAAAAGGTGATCACTGCAACTGAGATATTTTTCCCGGAGGAGTAGACTTTTTTAATCGATTTCCCCTCACACTCTTCTGCCATATCTTATCATCCATCAACTACACTATATAACATATACTTCAATTACTTCTGCGCAACTACCGTTACTATTATCACGCGTATAAAACAGCCACAAATCACCAATTGTCAAACATCTTTAATAGGAAATCATTTTGTCCTAATGGATAGTATATAATCGTATTCTAACAACAAAAGGATGAGCCGCACAAAACAAATGTATGCGGCCGATCTATATAAAAGCCACCGTTTTACCAGTTATAAAAAACATCAGTGTGCTCACGTCGAATCCATATTATAATAACGTATATGTATTGTTGATGTTAATCAAAGGTATGCGGTTTCACAAAACGATACTCGTAATAGGTGTAAAAATGTATCGAAAAAATCGTACATCGTACCTCGAGATATAATAATATATTTTATACTCTAACACGCGTTTACGCCCGAGTCTGTTAACCGTAATAATATAAAAATAATAAGTGAATGCGTTTACATTAAATGTATATTATGTATGTACAGAAA